CATCACCATCATCAACATCATCATCACCACCATCACCCTCATCACCAGCATCATAATCAGCATCAGCATCATCAACATCAACAGCACCATCAACATCGGCATCATCATTAGCATAATCATCATCCTCAGTATCATCAGCATCATCATCACCAACCTCATCATCCGCATTATCCTCATCTTCGTTCTCATTATCATCCTCATCCTCATCATCATCATCGACACTGCCGCCATCACCATCAACATTCGTATCATCACCATCAGCATCTGGATCAGCAGCATCATCCTCATCCTCATACCAATGCCCTTCCTCATTATCACCAGCAACAGCATCATCACCATCAGCATAATCATCACCATCATCAACATCCCCATCCTCATCCTCATCCTCATTCTCGTCCACATCATGACCATCAGCATCACCATCGCCATCTTCACATAATCATCATCACCATCATCATCATCAGCAGCAGAAGCAACAGCAGCATCATCTCCATCGCCATCACCATCGGCATCAGCATCACCAGCGCGCCACGTGTCCGCGAGCACTGTAAATTGGAGCACCCTCAACACTCGACAGAGGAGGAGGCGCCGCCTCGAGCTTCTGGCAATCGTCGGCGAGCCTCTGCTGATCGGCGGCCAGGCGTTCGCCGCTCCGGCCAGCGTCCTGGGAAGGCGGCCGAGCTCTTTGGAAAAACGCCCCGCCTCCCCCTCCTCCTCCGCCTCCTCCTCCTCCGCCTCCTCCGCCTCCTCCTCATCCTCATCCTCCTCCTCCTCCTCGTAGTGCCAGTTGTGCTCAAGTCAGCTGCCGCTGGGCCGTCGGCCCGCCGTCCGACCGATGCCCGGTGCAGGACGCCCGCGCGGCGAGGGCAACGCTGGAGGCCGCGCACGGCGCGGTCTTGGCGACGCCGCGTGCCGCTGGGCGGTTAGCGGGAAGCGATGCGCCCAATCCGCGCCGCCGGAGGCCTCCTCCGAGCGGCGGTTGCCGTGATGGCGACGCCCCCCACGCCCGCTTCGCCCAGACGGCGTCGGTCGCGCCCCCCGCTGCCCCTCAACGGCGGCGCCCGCCCGCGCGGACGTGGCGGAAGGCGGGCGGCAGGAACAACACGGAGATGGGCGTGGGCGGGTGCGGGGCGGCGGAGGGAGATGCGCGGCCAGGGCAATGGCAAAAGGTGTTGCCTGGCTTCCCCGCGGCGCGGGCCGCCCGCGGTGCGGCCGCGCTCGAGCTGGTGCAGCTCCCCGTCGCGCAGGCCAGCGGTGGCTCGGAGGGCGTCGACGCCAATCGACGCGGGCTGCCTCTCCGTTCTGCAAGGCTGGCTGCACACGGAGGCAGCACACAGCCCTGCACACATCCCAGCACACGAAGGCAGCACACGCCCCAGCACACATCCCAGTCCAGCACAGGTCCCAGCACACATCCCAGCACACATCCCAGTCCAGCGCACATCCCAAGCACGGTCGGTCGGTCGGTCGAAATTCTCCGGCCCAACGGGCCAGAGGCGTGCTAAGATCTCCGGTAACTTGTTAACAATATTTCTAGTTCGCGCGCGCGGAGCGGCCCCTGGGGGCCCCCGGACGAAAAGTACCCCGGCAAGGTCCCGAGAGAAGCCCGGGAGAAGCCACCAGACCACTCCAGGGGAGGGTATTTTTCGACACCCCTCACGAGGATCGTGGCCTCCGAGGGGGGAGCCGCAATCGACTACCCCCAAGAGCCCCCCAAGAGGCCCTGGGGGCCTCCAAAACGCCGCCAAGGAGCCCCAAGAGACTCCCAAGAGGTCCCCAAGAGGCCCCCAAGAGGCCCTAAAGAGGGCTCCAGGGCCGGCGGCATGAGCGAAGCGATTAAATAATACAGTGCGAGATTGGACCGGTAGGTATGATAATTATCACCCCCCCTTCCTCCCTCCCTCCGCCCCTCTTACCGCCGCATTCGGCCTCCCTCTCCTCCATTTCCTTGTCCTGTCCAACCTCGACCCCGCCAGGGGGGTGAGGGGGCTCCCCAAAGAGTTCCGCGGCCCCCGGGGGATGGGGGGACGACAGGGAGATCGGGGGGGGGGTCAGAGAGGCTAGGGAAGGGGGGGGGAAGGACGAACGACCACGATAAACGATCACGACGAAAATGAAGGGTTCCGCGGACCAGGGTGGGGTGCAGACCAGGGAGGGGGGAGGGGAGGACGACCGACCACGACGAAAACAAATATAAAGGGTTTCGCGGCCCAGGTGTTCAATTGTTGTTATGCTCTTGCTCTTAACCAGCTTGTGCAGGCGTTGCGCGAAGCCGGCATCACCACCAGGGTGAGGAGATGTGCCAACCCAGTGTGGGAGACCACGACCACACCGAGAGCGGGCGGTGATGGGGAGGAGGAGGAGGAGGTGCTCGACGTCGCATTTGTTGATGATCTTGGCATCGTTCTTTTTGCTTCTTCTCCTCGTGTCATGCTGTCTGCCATCCATGTCCTCTTGCGTGCTCTTGTCGATGTCCTCACCAAGCACAGGATGGCTATCAATTTCAAGAAGGGGAAGACAGAAGGCATACTTGCTCTGAGGGGAAAGAATGCGTGCGCGGTGTGGCAGACCTTGCAGACCGACAGGGGACCAGCCTTGCCAATCACTGGCTCCGATGACGTTGTGCATCTTGTTAGCGTGTACGCGCATCTTGGCAGTGAGGTCGAGGCGAAAGGTGGCAATCTCGCTTACGCCAAAAAGCGCAGCAGTAAGGCAATGGGCGCTTACGTGACGATATGTAGACGCGTGTTCGGGTGGAAGGAGCTTGACATGGTAGTGAAATGTTCGCTTCGTGAGAGTCTTGTATTTTCGAGGCTCTTGAACAATGCGCATCTGCGGTGTTTCAGAGTGCGTGAACTGAAAGTCATACATGCTACGTACATGCGTGTTCACAGACGGATCGTCGATGCTGTCCGATTCGACGCAAACGAGAGGTCCGGTTTAAAAGTGCGCATTGAGTTCAGCATTCCTTCGATCGATTGCGAACTTGTAAAACGCAGACTCAAGTACTTGGGCAGACTGGAAAGGTCGTCCTCGCTTCCGTTGAAGGCCATGCTGTCGCTTCGGGACAAAGATGGACGGCCGGTGCTCCCGTGGGCACAGCAGGCCGGAAAGGACCTAAGACTGTTGTATGAGAGGGTTGCCCGTGTCAGGGAAGTCTTACCTCACCCGGATGCGTGCCCTGAGGCGTGGCAGGCGTTTCTGCGCGACCACGCCGAGGAATGGGCTTCGCTCGTGTCACAGCTCTTCTTCGCGGATTCTGTCTGCGACAATCAATGGGCCAATGAAAGTGCGCAGCCGCCGGTTGCTTCGTTCTCGTACAGAGTGGCAGTGGCGGAGCAGAGCTTTTGGGACCAGTCAGGCTTTGTTAACGCATATGCGTGTCAAGCACGGCGTGAGGAATGTCATGCGTATGTATGGTGGCCGCGATTGTAAGTGCCAAGCGTGCCAGACTCTTTTCTCGACAAGATTCCGGCTGCTTGCTCACCTGAATAGACAGGCCAACCAGGGTGGTGAATGGGTGTTGACCAATTGTGCACCTTTGCATGGAGAGGAAGTCGCTGCGTTGGATGAAATTGACGCGCTGGCGTGCCACTCTGCGCACAAAGCCGGGCTAAAACACCCCAGAAGCGGGGGGCCCGCTGTAAAGGCTGACGGAAGACTTGTCGGCCGAGTGTTCCTGAAAAGCGGGGGCCGAGTACTGTTTTATCATCCTTTTGCGTCGCATCGAGCATAGCGCATGCAAAAGGAAGGCCAGGAGGGGGGAGGAGGACAGGGAGGCCCGGGGGGGCTCCCCAACCAGGCCCACGGGGGGTGGGGGGGCCAGGGAGGGGACGAACGACCACGACGACAATTACACTAGAGAAAAACCTAATCAGAGGATGGTTTGAGAAGTAGTGATATGGATATTGAGATCGATTGTGAGATCGATAGTGCAATGGATAGTGAGGACGATTCTAAGGTCGATCGTGAGACCGATAGTGAAGTCGATTCAATGAGATCGATAATGAGATCGATCGTGAGATCGCTCGTGCGATATACAGTGGTATCGATTGTGAGATCGATCACGAAATCGATTGTGGGATCGATAATGAAATCGATAGAGGTGGGTAATGAGATCCATGGTGAGACCGATCGATAATAAGATCGACCAAAAACCGGGGAACCCGAGAATCCGCCCACCGAAATCGGCGGGGAACCCGGAACCGGGAATCTGGGGACCCGGAATCCGGAACCAAAACCCCGGCCGCCCACCGAAATCGGCCGGCGACATCTGCTAGGACCCCTACAGTGCAAGCACTAACTGGGAAATAAAAGGGTTGCGCGGCCCATGGGGGAGTGGGCAAGGGATGCCACGGGGGGGGGAAGGGGCCAGAGAGGCCAGGTGGAGGGGGGGGACGAACGACCACGACAAACGACCACTACGAAAATAAAGGAATTCGTGGCCAGGGAGAGGGGGGGGGATCAGAGAGGCCAGGGGTTGGGAGCGGGGACGAATGACCACGACGAACGACCACGACGAACATCAAGAGGTCGGAGCTCTAGAGCACAGCTGTGCAACAGAACGCACGATTTGAACATCGGACGCAGCATCAATCGCGCTTCTGCCAGAGCGACCGGCCGAGGGTCGCGACGCGGGGCTGCCCTACACCAGTGGCAGGCCACTGAGAAGCGGACTGCCTCGTCTCGCAGTTTCCGTTCAGTCATCGTGCTACCTCGACGAATGCTGCATGAGCAGCGATGGGGCTTCTCTGGCCACGGCGAGCCACGGTTCCCAGACCTAGATCTGAGGAACGGTCAGCCTCTCCTGCACCAAGCATAATCCTTAAATGAGCCCGCTGGCTGTATATCCGCTCGAACGGCGTGCGCTGCAGCCCGCCTCGATGCAAAAAAGCATTTGAGACTCGGCATCAACATCCAATTCCGATCACTGTGCGGGAAAAGTTGGGGAACTACAGAAGCACAGCTTGGTGACCAATTGACCCCTCGAATGCACTAGCTCACTGTTGATTTTCTGATGCGTACCGTCTTGCTGAAGCATATAAAGCCGCAGGCACAATGAAATTGATCACCGAAGAGGTTGCAAGACCACCAATCTCTGAGATGGAATTGAAACCAGAACCAGTGTAGAAGGCGATGCTCAATATCCAGGGCACCACTACAGCGATAAACGTTGCCATTCCATCAGAGAGTCCTGACTGGACCAAATTGTAACGAGTTAAAATGGAAAATACCGGAATCGAAGTGAAATTCTGTAGCATCGGATATGCCGTCACGGTTACCCGTCCCAGCTTCGAGCCGCCTGCATTCAACTTGCTGAACAAATTCTCATCCGTTGTGTAGAACGGCTTGTAAGCCATGCCGCCTACGATACCAATGACAGTGTAAACCACAAGGACATATCCCATGGTCAGCGCAAAGCTGGCGAAGACCGACACCTCAGGGCGCTTCTCATTAACCCACGAAGGCAATGCACTTGTAAACGCGAAGTTGAAAAGAACGGTTCCTATCAACCCCCCCTGCATGGTAGTCATTGCTGGCAGGAGTGTGGGAAAGTCGGGCTCGGACACAAGAATCGCAACCCAGACGACACTCATGACACTTAGCCCGAGGATTGCAAGATACTGGAGAGCCACATTGTCATCTAGATTCTTCACGGCAAACGGGGCGCAAATCCACCGACCCCTCTCATGGGACTGCGCGCGTGAGATCTTTCCCTCCCCCAGCCCCCTCCTAAGGATACCAGCATGCTCTCCCAACGAGGCAGGCGCGGGCTTGCGAACGCCTCTTTCTCCACAAACGGGGAAAGTCTTCGAGGAACGAGCAGCGTGGCCCGTTCTTCAGGCCGAGCTCTCTCACGCTACTTGAAGAAAACGTATTCCAGGCTGGCGGACGATGGGGAGCGTCTTCGGGGAACGACAAGCATGGACCATTCGCTCAGAACGATCTCTTCTACATTAATTGAAAGGATCTTGGAAAGTATGTGGTGCTGGATCGCACAGTATCCCAGGTTGGCGGATGACGGGAAGCGTCTTCGAATAACGAACAGCGCGGACCGTTGTACGCTTCTACTTACTTGAATTTGGTCATGACATCTAAAGAACCGTCAACACTATGCGATGTCGGGCTTCGCCAGCGCCCACCACCCGCCACTTCTTTTGCCCGACGCCGTCTTCACGGAGTCAGTCCATGTTTCTCTCCCTCCTCCGTCTTCTCCTCCTTACGATGCCATTCTCTCGAAATCAATCCTTGTCTATCTCCTCTCTGTACCACCTCAACGCCTGGCTCGTCTCTCTCTCCACCTCCTCCTCCTCCTTCTCCTCTTCTTCTTCCTCCTCGTCCCTCGTCCCTCGTCCACACTCGTTTCCCCAGGTTGGATCCTGCCGCCGCGGACGAGCGGGCGCGAGCGTGGGCCTCCGTCCCAAACGCGCGCGCGCGCGCGCTTCGGGGGGGGGGGGGAAGGGCGCAGGGCTCTCGCACCGCGGCGGCCGAGGCGGAGGATCCTACGCTCCCCCGAAACGTGCCCGTCTCGGGCGGCACCGCCTGTTGGCGGCGTGCACAAAGAAGGTAGGGGGGAGTGGGGAAGGCTCCTTAGAAGGAGGCTGCTTCTAAGAAGGCGCCCGCCTCATATCAACGGACAAGGCGCCTTCTGAGTGGCAGGGGTGCTCCTAAGAATCCCTCTCCCCTCCCCCTGCCGCCGGCCTTGGCCTGCGAGGGCCGCCGTGCAGCTGGCACGCCGCACGGAGGGGGAGCACACGAGCCGGGATCGACCACACGCAGAGGGGGGCCGATCCTCGGGGCCGCGGCCCCCTGGCCCGCACCGGCCAGGGAGGAGGGGGGGCAGGAGAGCCCAGAATCGAATCGACAAGTCGGATCGGCGATCGACACGAATCTGGTCGACGGATCTCGGCAGCCGAGTCGGGAAAGGTCGAATCGGCAGACACCGGCAGGCTAGTGGGCCTCCAATCAGAAATCGGAGTTCAGATCGGAATCCTAAATCGAATCGAATCGGAATCGGAAACCGTCGCAGTCGAATCGACTCGAATCGGGGGAATCGAAACAAGCCTTGGGGGGGGGGCGAGGCGAGGCGGCGGGGGGGAAGAGAGAGGCCCCGCGAGGGCCGCGGGCCGAGCTGGGCGCGCGAGGTGCCCACGCTCGGCCCCGAAAGAGCGCGCGGCGTCGAGGGCCTGCACCTTCCGCGTCGCGCAAGCGGTGCGCAGAGAGAGAGAGAGAGAGAGAGAGCGCGCAGGAGGGACATGGCGAAGCCAGGACGAGGATAAATTCGCGTGAGGATAACATCGAGAAGGTCCGATGTCCGGCGGCTCTGGAGGATGTATCGGGTGTCGCGGCCTTCTCAGAGCGTTCTGCAACGCTCTGGAACGGACTTGTACTCGTCCTAGCCCCGTCCGAAGGGAGGAGAAGTCGGAGGAGGAAAAGCACCGATGCACCGCTGCCCTTGCTCAATTTTCGCCTCTGAGGAAGCCGTGCGCGCTGGAGGTGCGCCCACAATGTGGAACAGTCCACTGTGATACGCTTCTGGCGGCCCTGTTGCCCGCTGGGCGGTGCACTGGCCACTTGTGGTCAGGGAGCGTCTTCGGACGAAGGAGGGTGAGACTACGAAAAACGAATACAGTCGGACATGGGACAGAAGAACACCCTTCAAGAACATGAGACCCTCCGCCAGCCAAAATGAAGAGCATTCGAGGGTACACTCCCGCGGGATGGACAGGAACATCCAACAAACACATAGGACATTAGGGTATCCTCCCCGAACCGACCTCGATCTTATACCTCGCTCCGACTGCACACTTATTTTAGGGTCCCAGCGGAACACGAAATCAGCCAGATCACACCCACGAAGCCAGGACAGGGACAACATCGGATTGGGATAAGTCGGGAATCTCTGAGATCTGGCGGTTTTGAAGGATGTATCGGGCGCCGCGGCCGTTCCAGAGCGCTCGCTCTGAGCGCCAGAACGCTTTGGAACGATGTATCCCTGCCCTAGCCCCGCCCGACTCTTCCTGGGCCCCGGGACCGTCAGCACCAAACATGATCGACCCACGAACCCGGAAAGGAATATAGAGCTGTAACACATGGCAGCGTTTTCAAAGACACCTGATTGGGTGACGGGCAAATGCAATGCTGAAGGTATCGATCTTGATGTACCCTGCCGAGGGCTGTGCTGTGCTGCACCGTGCTGAATTGCGATGTGCCATGGCGCGATTGTGCTCTATAGCCTCGTGGATCGAGTTCTCCTTTGCATCCGAGTCCTGACCGAACTGATCTGGATCTTAAGCTCGAGCTGCCTGGACACATAGTAGCGTCCCCAGAGCTGATTGACATGGGGGACATGCCAGGAGGACGCGACGCGGAACGTCTCAAGGGACGCGCCAAGCGACGTGCCAAGGGACGTGCCGTGGGGACGCACCGCGGGACGTGCCAAGGGGACGCGCTACGGAACGTGCCAATAGATGTGCCACGGTATGTGCCAGGGGACGCGCCACGCGACGTGCTAGGGGGACTCGCCAAGGGACGCCCCACGGAACGTGCCAAGGAACGTGCCAAGGTGCAATGCTGAGTGTATCGATCTTGATTTACCGTGCCGAGAGCTGTGCTGTGCTGCGCAGTGCTGAATTGCGATGTGCCATGCCACGATTGTGCTCTATAGCCTCGTGGATCGAGTTCTCCTTTGCATCCGAGTCCTGACCGAACTGATCTGGATCTTAAGCTCGAGCTGCCTGGACACATAGTAGCTGCCCCAGAACTAATTGACAGGGGGACATGCCAGGAGGACGCGACGCGGAACGTCTCAAGGGACGCGCCAAACGACGTGCCAAGGGACGTGCCATGGGGACGCACCGCGGGACGTGCCAAGGGGACGCGCTACGGAACGTGCTGGGGACAAGCGTTTCGCTCGAGACATCCTGCCAACATCCTCAAAATTCCTGCGCGCGGGACGCGGCACGCGCGAGACATCCTCGGAATTCCTGCGAGCGGGACGTGAAAACAAGCATTTCGCCTGAGACATCCTCTGAATTCTGGACCCCCACGAGGCCCCCCACGAGGCCCCCGCTCGAGACATCCCCCAATTTGCAAAACCAGCGTTTCGCTCGAAACGTCTTCAACAAATTATGAAAGACAACCATTTCGCTCGAGACATCCTGCCAAAATTCAAGGAAATCCTGGCACAACAAACGAATTAATCGAGACATCCTCGAAATTCCTGCGCGCGGGACGCGGCACGCGCGAAACATCATCGGAATTCCTGCGCGCGGGGCGCTTTTCCGCGTCACGGTCGGCTCTGCAAAACCGGCGTTTCGCTCGAGACATCCTCAACAAATTCTGAAAACAAGCGTTTCGCTCGAGACATCCCCAACTCTGCAAAACCAGCGTTTCGCTCGAGACATCCTCAACGAATTATGAAAAACAAGCGTTTCGCTCGAGACATCCTCACATTTTAATTCGCCGGCCCTACGCGACCTCGTTATTCATCGCAAAAGAAATTCGCCGGCCCTACAGCCGTCAAAACCGGGGGGAAACCAACTAAAAGAGAACCCTGGGCTCAGGCCCTTTCCGGGAAAAACTGCTCGGGATAAGGAGAACTAGTCCTGGGAAGAGCCCTAGGGTCCAACACCCGTTTCACTCAGTCTCAGTTCCCCTTTCCTTCATGCCAACACTCACGGTGATGAGGGAGGCTTCAGAGGCTGATGAGGAGCAGGAGTAGAGGGGGAGGGAGAGAAGCAATCTCACATTGAGAAGGGTTGGAAGGATCGCCTCTCAGGACGTGTACTTCGCGGAGCGAGAGGGATCACACCAACGATGACCATAGCACTGGACATCACCGTCCTGTCGCCAAAAGGGGTTACAGAGTCAGTCCGAGTACCGCAGACATAGCTCAGCCCTCCACTCTCATCAAACGTGATCCCTGGAGAACAGCCGTTGAAGTTGAGGATCAAGTAATCGATAACCTGGCCTGACTGTATGATGAGCGACATTAGCGACAATATTGAGTTCGCATGGTAACACAATATCACAAACAAGTATGCCTTGTGCGGCAAGTAAAACATTGCCACATTTGTAAACTCTATGCGCTGTTCGAAATTGCTGTTGCCTGGCATTCTCCGCATTGCCCCAAGTAACATGTAGCCGCAAGCGCATGCGACAATTGCCACAATGCCCTGTACCAGGGCAACGGAGAGCCATCCTGCTTCTTGCGCAAGCGCTGGCATGGATACAATAGTAGGCCCAGCAAGGTTATTGATAAGCAACATTACCCCTCCAAGAAAACCGATAGTCTTGGACTCCTCTGGAGCCCTTACGATAGCACGGAAGGCTTCCCGCTCAAGAGTCCAAAGCTTGCTGGACGATGTGGCGACGACAGTCGCAGCTCGTGGGGCGCTACTGAGCATAGCGTGCTCGCCGAAGACCATGCCTGGACCATACTGGCAGACCTTCACAGCGGGGCCCTCGCCGTAGCGGATGAGGACATCGAAGGAACCTTCGTTGACGATGTACATGTGGGTGTTCTCCTTGCCCTGCTGTATTACCACCTGTCTTCTTCGTGGGAACGGGGAGTCAACGCCTGGGGGCAAATGCAGAGCGCCAACACCTCATCCCTGAAATGTTCTTGACATGCCCGTACGTGCTTCAAGCGCCAGGGTGAAGGTGTGTGCTGGAGCTACCGACCAATTGCCCCACCCCCCATTGCCACGATGCCGAACCTCGCCATCCCTCACGTCTCTCTGCTGCATGCCATCGATGACTGCCCGTCCTGGTGCGCCAACAAGGGGTCCAGAACCAACCGGGCTTTCCCCAGGCCGAATGCAAAGTACAATTGGCTGTTTACTCGCAACTCTGATGCTTGTGTTCCCCCTATGAGTCGTGGCCTGGGAGGCTCTAACCTGTTTCGTTCTATCAGGCCCGCAGCGATACCTAGTGGACTGCGACGAATCCTCGCGGTTCCCCAGGGGAGTACGTCGGGTTCTGAGGTGGGGTCCCATGGTCCGCGGGGATCCTTCGCCTTACATGTTCTGGATTGCGTTGCTTTGTGTTTTGCTCTGCTTTCCAACGCATTGCATTGCTTTGCGCTGATTCCCGCGTGCTGCTTTACAATGATATGCACTACCATGCTCCGCGTCAGATCGTCGTGTTTTAGATTGTGCTGTGTGTTGCTGCTCTGCTTTGCTGAGAATTCTTCCGTTGTGCTTCTTGCCTTGTACTTCCTTGCGTTGCTTTGTGACGGCTTAGGTTGATGGATGTTCGCCTGGTTGGAATAGAGTCGCATCGGTGTTCAATGCGTCGCGCTGTTAAGCAATTCATTTGTCTGGTATTGCTTATCATCGGTTTGCGATGCTTCACATCAATTGATGTGCATTGCGTTGTTTGTTTTGTGATGGTTTGCGCTGCTCCACCGTGCGGTGGACGGTATATTGCGTTGCATTATTGTTCATCCTTTACTTTGCAATTCGCTGCTTCGCTGTGCCTCGAATTATGAAGTGCTGCGCTGAACCACTTGGCATTCGCGCTGGCATTGCACTGCATTGCAATTAATCGCCTCGGCTCGGACTGCTTCTTGTAGCATTGCCTAGCTTTCGGTCGGGCCTGTCCCCTTACGGAGGGATTTTGGACGAAAATAAAAAATACGAAGCACATACTCTCAAAATGCTCGAACATAGTCAAAACATAGTCCCCAGACTATTGTTAGACTTTCTTCGAATGTTCCTCCTGTAGAGGGACAGGCCCGACTTAAGCCTAGCTTTCCCGCTGCTCTGGGAGCAAGACGACTCCCCAAAGGGGGCCGCGCTGGGCTCGTTCGCCTCCTGGGGGTCTGCCTGCTCCCGGCCAGAGGATCGGACGGCGCCTCGGCAGCGCGCGTCCACCTGCCATCGCAGCAACGACAGACAAACAACTGCCAGTCTCGCCATCGCTCGGACGTCCATTCCCCGTGCATCCTTCGATCTCGTGCGTGCTCTCTTTGGCCAGATGGTCCAAGATGCTCCTCGATGGTCCCCGCCGGCAGAGAAACAGAAAGGGCACACCCGTCCGAGCGCTGCCAAGCACTCGGAGAGGAGGGGGACGGGCCGCCGCTGCGCCTCGGCTGGTCCTCCTCCAGGTCTCCCAGAGGGGGGGGGTCCGAGCGGCTGGAGTCGGAGGAGCGCGCCGTATCGCCAAGGCAATGGCGATGCATCGGCGACACTGGTGTGGAGAATATCGGGCTCCACCTCGAGCCGCATCGCCGATGCGGCGCGATCCTTCGACCCCATCTTCTCGGACCCTATCTTGGAGGACTGGATACTCTGATCCCTGGCCATCAGCCAATCAACGGTCCTAGCGCCTCCACGTGGTGACCAACGAGCATCTGCAGGGAGTCGCTGTAGGCGAAGATGGCCTGCAGCCGCTGGCTCTCCGAGCACGGCGCGACCTGCCAACCACGAGGAGGGAGGGACGACGAATGGCTAGAGCGCCCGAAAAGGGGCTCGGGGAAAAATGGCGCGATGCCCCAAAACAGGCAGCGGCCGCTGTCGGGCAGGCGGCTCGGTTACCAGTGGATATTTCACGTTCGCGGCGACGCTGACAGCGAGCCCTGTTCAGGATGGGCAAAGACTGCTGTCGGCTTTCGTCTCCGTCGGGGAAACCAACAAGAACCGATACCGCTACTCCGCGGACCTCTCCCAGGGCGCGTCCCGACCAGAATTTCGAGGCGAATCCAGCCGTGGCGACGAGGGCCCGCTAGGAGGCCCAACAATGCAGAAACCAAACAAACTAAGCATGTCCTGGCGAAAGGTCCAACCATAGCAATGCAATTCTGAATACCGCAAGGCACGTGGGACAAAGGAGAAGGGGATCCCTACGGGGCCACGAAACGGGTGAGGGGTGTAACGAAATGAGCGGGGAACTGGGTGTGGACCCTGCCACTGCGACCTTAGGTGGATCTCCATTTTGGGCCACGAAGTGTCAGGGGTGTGCTCAAGTGCACTGGGTGCCGCTTGTGGACTTTGCCGCTGGGGCCTTAGGTGGAGCTCCCTATTGGGCCACGATGCCCGAGCGGGGTGTGTCGAAATTCGCCGGCCCAACGGGCCAGAGGTGTGCTAAGATCTCCGGTAACTGCTTTACAGTAATTCTACTTCGCGCGCGCGGGGCGGCCCCTGGGGGTCCCCGGACGAAAGTAGCCTGGGCAGGTCGCGGGCGACTCGGGTCAAAGATGGTTTTCCTCCTGGGCGCCGCCCTCGAAGCCGTCCAGGGAGCCCCGAGAAAGGCCAAGAGGCCGCCAAGAGCCCCTCAAGATGATACAATAGGGTTCCGAAATGCTACAAGATCGCTGCAAGACGCCCAAGATGCCCCCCAGACGGCCCAAGAGGCCTCCAAGAACACTCTCAAGAGGGCCCCAAGATGCAAAATCACATATCCCCCGTAGGCTTTGGAGAGATTTGGGTGTTTCCACCTTGTCGGCTTCCCGACACCCTGGGACGGCCCCCCCCAGGACCGCCCAGAGAGGGCACCAGAGGCTCCCAAGACACCGAGATGGCCCAAGAGGGCTCCACGACGGCCCAGGAGGTCTCCAAGAGCACTCTCAAGAGGGCCCCAATATGCAAAAATCACATAGGTGTTGGAGAGACTTTGGCGTTTCGACATTTTCGGCTTCCCGACGCCCTAAGACGGCCCAAGAGACCCACAAGACCGCCCCAGAGGGCCCAGAGGCTCCCCAGACCCCGAGACGGCCCAAGAGGCCTCCAAGACGGCCCAGGAAGCCCCCAAGAACGCCCCAAGAGAGGTCCCAGGAGTCTGAAATGACTCTGGTAGGTCATATAGCATCCAATTCCATGTCGAAGGAATGCGATATGGGGTGTGGATGGGTAGGATAAGATAAGATCGATGTAATGATCTTCCAAACACATAGCGAACACTAAGGTCAGCGCCCGGGCAAATAGGGCGCGCGTGCCTTGAGCCAAAATGGCAGCGACGCGCAGGCTATACTCCCGATCCTCGATCATATCTCCCAAAGGGCCACCCTTAAAGTCGGGAGGGGAGGAGGCGGAGAGTAAAGCCGCGCAGTCGCTAGGCTCTGGAAAGGCCGCGCGCGCAACTGTTTGCGAGGAAAGGCGAGATTATTCGCCGGCGAGTTTCCTCGCAAAACTTTTCCACGCACACGCAGGATAGCCCCTTGAATAAACGAGGGCTATCGGCCCGGCTAGAGGTAGGCCAAACAGGCTATTCCCCTCCGGGCAAAAGGGTTTTAAGGCAAAGAGCCTGAACCAAACTGAACAGGCTCGTTGCCAAGCGTGAAAAAGATGGCTCGTTTCCGAGCAGGTAAGAGGGCGCCTCTGTATTAGGCGCCCGCGCTGGCAAACTGGACCGCAGGGGCAACAAGGACAGACTAAAATTGATTCGACTTAGGTTTGGTTTTGTCCTCGGGGCCCCGCAAGGGAACAAACTGCTTCACGTCATACTTAAATGACTGAGTGCCTGACATCACTTCCAAAAGCAGCTCCCGATCGATACTCACTTTTGTATGCCCGTCTGCGGTCATGTCTCTAGTGTCGCACCACTGTACGTCATGCACTATACCAATATCCATGAGCTCACGTATCCAGCTGATATGTCCCAGCAAAGTACGTCCCGTCGGCATCTTAAGGTCTTTGCTGGATAACGGTTTGTATACAGACTCAGCGTCTTTAGTAAGAGATACTTTGATAGCTAGGCCTCCAACTTCACGCATATCTCGTAGTTGTCGTGGAGTAAGTGCTCCGGCCTTGAGCTCGTGGAGAGTGATGAGCGTGGGATAGCACTCATCAAGATTATGTGCAGCTGCAAGTGTCTCAGCGGCATAGCTGGACCTCACCTGCAGTCGGTGTGACTTGCATAGTCCGTCGCAAAGGTGAACGACGGACTTGCCTTGGGGCGAGTTTCCTCGCCGTAATACGTTCGCCCCACGAATGCTGCAGCCCTTGGTTTCGTCGTCCTCCTCCACGGTAAGTTTCCGATACCCCGAATCACTATGTATGTCTACTTGATTCGTCGGTTTCACCCGAGGGAAGATGATGCGTTTCGGGCTGCTGATCAGCTTTCGCGTCACAGCATTCAGTCGCATGACTTGTAAGTTGGTGGGCTCTTGGATCTTCTGGAGAGAGACCACGCGCACCATGAGCCAGACTTGAGTAAGAAGGGCATCGGCGAGAGCTCCTCGCAGGCTAACGAACATGTCGGTGATGACTTTGGTAGCTTTGGCGTCTACCGCTGCTCCCGTAAGCTCAGGATGTGTGATAGGACGTAGTTGTTTAATATACTCGTTCTGGTCCCTGATCACATCCCCTTGTTCGTTCTTCGTGTAGCGAACGGCGCAATTAGTGTGAGAATGTTTGTTGAGCTTACACTTGCCAAACACCTTTTCGACGCGCTGTACATAGTCATCTACGTTTTTCCCTAGGCCTGTCATATTGATGTCGTCGACGTGTTTTGCCGTTGAAAGATCCTGACTGAATTCATACTCAGGATCGTAGCTTGTCGGTGTAAGGCCTATAGCTCGTGTAGTCGTACGAAGCTTGAGGCAGAACGCTCTTGGGGCGCCCTTTGCACCCGTTCCTGGCTTGAGGAGCCTAAGGCAGTGTCGGCTTTCATCGTGAGAAGAGAAGCCTGGTAGTGTGCGAAGCACCTGGACACTTCCTGGTGGAAGGGTGAAGCAAACCATGCGAGTCTCCTCGCCGGTGGCATGAGCAAGCTCCTCATATGTCAGTCCTTTGAAGAACGCTTTGTCGATGTCCATATGTGCTCAGATCCGTTCTGGATGACATGCCGCCTCACTTGCCAGAAGCCTCTGCGACTGTCTGCGGGCAGTTCCTGAGAAGGTTTCTACATCGAAAGCATCCGTGTCCATGATTCCGCGGGGGACAAGTCTAAGACTGATAATTTTAACATTCTCAGTGCCTAATTTCACAAACTGTATACATATCTGGATGTCATGATGTTGGAAGCTTTTGATAGGTCATACATCTCAAAGCATCGGTTGTCAAGCCAGATCTTGAGTTCGGTGCACAATGCTTCACCAACCTCTTTAGGATATTCTGCTATGTCGGCTTTGGTGAGTAGGTCGTCTTCCTTGACTACCACAATTCGTTCAGCAGCCGGTGGTACATCTGCTCTCATCGTTGCGACCATGTCTGGTTCGAGCTGTGCAAATTGGGTCTGATCCAACACGATATTTGACATTTCTGTTGTGAAACATAGCTCAACATAGGGACCGTGCTCATCACTGTCAAGAGAATAGCCCTCGTCAGGTGTAGTCGAGCATAACGAGACAAGACAGGGCTCTCGTAATTCAGGCTCGTCTCCGAGCATCTCCGACACCACGGTATCTTCATCGTCCACAGATGCTGAGACCAAGAAGCATTGGTCGGGCAGCATGCTTGTTGGGACGCAATAGAGACAGTCGTCGATAACCGTTGTGGGATGAAGGACCATACGTAACTCACCGTGCCACTCCTCCATCATCATAGCCTCAATGTCGTGTTCCTCGCTTTCTTCGTAGATTGTAGACAGGCGACCTTCACTTGGCGATGACACGCCCGGGGTGTCTGGAGGAGGCCTGTCGCCAGGCTGGTCGCGTTCTCCAGACTGTGTGTCCAAGTGTTGATACGTGGCAAGGTCGTCGTGAAATCCGAGGGAAGGAACTTGTGACGCCAGGCACTGGATGAGTCTGGAGTGAGTGCTGCCAGTGATTTGAGGGATGTCCAGGCCAGTGCCTACACACTCATAATAGTGGAAGGCTGGGTTAATATCGCTGTCGTAGCGGATCAGTGTAGACTCGGTGGCGTACTTTACTGCAGGTAGATTGAACACGCTCTTGGCTAATCTCACGGCGACTGCACGTTCAACTCGGAAATCATTTCGCACGAGATACTGCAGTGCAAGGTACACGCGCGGGTGAAACTTGCTGTCGTCGGAAAGATTGAAGTTTCTCTTGTAGCCTGGAATATAGCCAAAGACTTTGGCAGGTTTCCCTGCACCAGGGTGTGCCGCATTTGTAAGGACGGTTTGCGTGGCCATGTTGTCCATGCCAAGTTCCCTGGTAAGAAGGCATTCAATGTATAGCGTGTGGCGCGCATCAGGATACATTGCAACTACCTCACGCGATCCTGCCTTGACGACGACGTGTCCTCGTTCGGGCACGTTACGAATCACAGGAAACGGGCCATTCCAGCCTCCATGGTCGTCCTTAGCGGCCGTGGGTCGGTGATAATCGACCAAGCCCCCAGCTGAGTATAGGCGGGCACCATCTGGGGCCGTCTTAGCCCTGAGAGCGCGATTCGTCCTTGCTACCGCCGTGGCTTGAGTTATTGCTTCCAGGCTAACTTCCCTCACGCGGCGTTCGCGTTCGTGTCCTGACGTCTCGGGCCCCTTGGGGAAGTCAAGGGTGTCGAGGTCAGG